GGGAGGGGGGTGGAACATAGGAATGGAGGTAAGGAATACAATAACGGAAGGGTGCGATGTTTTCAGCAATGCGTCTTTGCGATAAAAGGAACTTGTGATATTTGCTGAAGTGTCTCTTGTCATTATTGCTCGTGGGTATCCCCTGTATCTCCGGGTACCCGCCCATCTCTCTGTCACTTCATTTGGAAATGCTATCCTCGACTGGTCCAGAAATACTGAGATTCTAGCATCAGGTCTACCCTGAGCCAAGAGGGCGCTGAAACTCTGAAATCACAAAAGAATTCCCCTACCGGATCTGTATAGTACACTTTGTGACTTTGTTCTCAGTTACCGGGTCTGTATACACACTCCCGGGTCTGTATACACACTCCCGTCTAGCATAGATCTAGCCTAATCTTTGATTCTAGGCTGCTTTCTGATATTAAAATGATGATTTCATCCAAAGGTACATCAGGTGATTTCGAGTGTTTCCCAGTGTTTTCGAGTGTTTCCTAGTGTTTTCGAGAAAAATAAACACCCTTCAAAACTTTCAAATAAGCTTACTTTTATAAGGCAAACCTAATCTAGATCTAGAATCACAAGAAGCAGCACGCAGCAAGCACACCTCTGTGATTGGCCAAAATAATCTAGAAGACATATTTCCACCATCTATATCTGTCGTCTTCCGGGGCTTCCCTGGCACGTTGACTAGATCTCACCGTCACCGGCCCCTTTTGCTGTTTAGTGCGTGATGGGCTACGACACTAGATCTAGATCTAAGTTTTCTATCTTTCTCTCGTTCCCTCCTGCCAACTGGGGCATGTACATTTTGCTAGCACTTCCCCCTGCTCTCTCTCTCACACACACACACACACTACCGGGTCTGGGCGCTGAAACTTTCCGAAATCACAAAAAAGTTCCCCTGCGGGCCTGTATACTTCGTGACTTTGTTCCCGGTTACGTATACACTTCGTTTTGAATATATACCCAAGACCAAGATAGATAAAAGTCACTTCACACCATACCATACATGCACACGCTAAAACAACATACACACACACACAAACAAGCGATTTTGCAGTTCTGCAGAGTTTGTGAACTTTGCAAAATCGTTTGTTTGTGTGTGATGGCGCGTCGCGCCCATCGAGTCTCGAGATGGCCGCGCTTTCTGCTGATCGTCATATGGTTCTGCGCCACCTTAAAACTTAAAACTAAGACTTAAGATCGCGCTGATCGGCAAATGGCGCTTGACAATTATACGGGGTGCCCACTATGACTGGGATCGGCTGATCGCCCGACTCGAGCAACTAAAAAACAAGGGAGTGTATACAGACCCGGTAACCGGCAACAAAGTCACAAAGTATACAGACCCGGTAGGGGAACTCTTTTGTGATTTCGGAAAGTTTAAGCGCCTGTTGACTCAGGGAAGACCTAGGTTCTTCTAGATCTATGGCCCAGGTCTAGATCTAGATAGACAGACATTATAAATCATTGATCTAGTTTCGAGGCTAGCCTAGATCTAGATCTAGATTAGATCTAGATCTAAATGAAGATTGCGGATGTCTTTTCGATGAACGATTGTTTTTCCTCCGTTTTGGAGTTGGAGGAATCACAATTTGAAGAAAAGAACAATGTCATAA